TTTGCAGGCCAGAAGGGAGTGGCAAGAAATATTCAAAGTGATGAATACCAAGAACCTACAACCAAGATTACTTTATCCAGCAAAGCTATCATTCAGAACTGAAGGTCAGATAAAGAGCTTCACAGATAAGGAAAAGCTAAAGGAGTTCATCACCACCAAATCAGTATTATATGAAATGCTGAAAGGTATCCTTTAAGAAGAGGAAGAAGAAGAAAAAGGTAAAGATACAAATTATGAACAACAAACATGCATCTATCAACAAGTGAATCTAAGAATCAAGTGAATACTTCCCATTAAAATACCAATGGCATATTTCACAGACCTAGAACGTACTCTCCAAAAATTCATCTGGAATAAAAAAAGACCCCCACCGAAACCGGTTTGGCTCAGTGGATAGAGCGTTGGCCTGCGGACTGAAGGGTCCCGGGTTCAATTCCGGTCAAGGGCATGTACCTGGGTTGCGGGCACATCCCCAGTGGGAGATGTGCAGGAGGCAGCTGATCGATGTTTCTAACTCTCTATCTCTCTCCCTTCCTCTGTAAAAAATCAATAAAATATATTTAAAAAACAAAAACAAAAACAAAAACAAAAACAAAAAAAAATGACTCCGAATAGCCGCAGAGATCCTGAGAAAGAACAAAGTAGGTGGGATCTCAATACCAGATATCAAGCTGTATTACAAAGCCACTGTTCTCAAAACTGCCTGATACTGGCACAAGAACAGACATATAGATCAATGGAATAGAATAGAGAGCCCAGAAATCAGCCCCAACCAATACGCTCAATTAATATTTGACAGAGGAGGCAAGAACATACAATGGAGTCAAGATAGTCTCTTCAATAAATGGTGTTGGGAAAATTGGACAGATACATGCAAGAAAATGAAACTAGATCACCAACTTACACCATACACAAAAATAAACTCAAAATGGATAAAGGACTTAAATATACGACGGGAAACCATACAAATACTAGAAGAATCCAAAGGCAACAAAATCTCAGACATATGCTGAAGCAATTTCTTCACCGATACAGCTCCTAGGGCATTGGAAAAAAAAAACTAAAGAGAAAATAAACAAATGGGACTACATCAAAATAAAAAGCTTCTGCACAACAAAAGAAACCATCAACAAAACAACAAGAAAACCCACTGCGTGGGAAAACATATTTCCCAATGTCATATCTGATAAGGGCCTAACCTCCAAAATTTATAGGGAACTCATACAACTTAACAAAAGGAAGATAAACAATCCAATCAAAAAATGGGCAAAGGATCTAAATAGACACCTTTCAAAAGAGGACATTCAGAAAGCCAAGAGATATATGAAAACGTGCTCAAAGTCACTAATCATCCGAGAGATGCAAATCATAACAACAATGAGGTACCATCTCACACCTGTCAGACTGGCTATCATCAACAAATCAACAAACGACAAGTGCTGGAGAGGATGTGGAGAAAAAGGAACACTTATGCACTGCTGGTGGGAATGCAGACTGGTGCAGCCACTATGGAAGACAGTATGGAGTTTCCTCAAAAAACTACAAATGGAACTCCCATTTGACCCTGTGATCCCACTTCTAGGAATATATCCCAGGAAACCAGAAACACCAATCAGAAAGGATGTATGCATCCCTATGTTCATAGCAGCACAATTCACCATAGCAAAGATCTGGAAACAGCCTAAGTGCCCATCTGTAGATGAATGGATTAGAAAACTGTGGTACATCTACAGGATGGAATACTATGCTGCTATAAAAAAGAAGGAACTTTTACCATTTGCAACAGCATGGATGGAACTGGAGAGCATTATGCTAAGTGAAATAAGCCAGTCAATGAAGGAAAAATACCACATTATGTCACTCATTTCTGGATAATAAAGACCATTATAAACTTATGAACAAAAATAGATACAGAGGCAGAGCTGCCTCGAACAGGCTGTCAAACTACAGCAGGAAGGCCGGGGAGGAGGAGGGTGGGTAAGACATCAACCAAAGGACTTGTATGCATGCATATAAGCATAACCAATGGACATAAGACACTGAGGGGTAGGGGAGGCCAGGGGATTGTCAAGGGCAGGAAAAAACGGAGACATATGTAATACTCTTTGTAACACTTTAAGCAAAAAAAAAAAAAAAAAAAAAAAAGAATCAAGTGAATAAATAATTTGGTGATCATAATAGAATCAGGGACATAGATAGGGAATGGACTGATTATTCTTGGGGGGGAAAGGGGTGTGGGAGATGCGGGAAGAGACTGGACAAAAATAGTGCACCTATGGATGAGGACAGTGGGTGGGGAGTGAGGGCGGAGGGTGGGGCGGGAACTGGGAGGAGGGGAGTTATGGGGGGAAAAAAGAGGAACAAATGTAATAATCTGAACAATAAAGATTTAATTTAAAAAAAAAAGATTTTGTTGAGGATTTTGGCATCTAAGTTCATGAGGGATATTGGCCTGTAATTCTCTTTCATTGTGTTGTCTTTACCTGGTTTTGGTATTAGGGTGATCTCAAGTACTGTTTTAAATTGCCAATGCCTTATTTCAAGTTGAAAAATTTTCAAATACAGCCCTAGCAGGTTTGGCTCAGTGGACAGAGCATCGGCCTGCAGACCAAAGAGTCCTGGGTTTGATTCTGGTCAAGGGTACATTTCCCCAATAGGGGCTATGCAGGAGGCAGCCGATCAATGTTTCCTTCTTATCATTGATGTTTCTATATCTCTCTCCCTCCTTTTCCTCTCTGAAAACAATAAAAATACTTAATAAATTAGTGATTAAAAAAAGAGAAAGAAAAATATTCAAATACCTAATATGAGTCAAAAGGTTCTATGGTTCTCCTTCCTCTATTCTATGACTCATACAGACAAGCTTCCTTTCTGTTCCACAGTAGAGCTATTACATTTGCTGTTTTCTCTCAGTGGAATCCAACTCCTTTTGTCAGTTGTGTCTCAGAAAGGTCTCCTGCTCTAAGCTTTCCCTGATCACCAGAACCCAAGCCAGCCCCTGCCAACTCTGCCCTACTGTCCCATCCCCACATATTACCAATTAGAATGATCTTGTTAATTTACTTAATGGATTTGTTTATTGAAATGAATCAGGGAATTAACCACATGAAATATACATATAGCCCGACTGGAATGGCTCTGTGGTTAAGCGTCTACCTATGAACCATGAGGTCACGGTTTGATTCCAGTCAGGGCATATGCCTGGGTTGTGGGCTCGATCCCCTGTAGGGAGTGTGCAGGAGACAGCTGGTCAAAGATTCTCTCTCATCATTGACGTTTCTATCTCTCTCTCCCTCTCCTTTCCTCTCTGAAATCAATACAATACATAAAAATATAAAAATATATACATATGTATAGCTTTGAAACAGCGAGAAGACTTGAAGAGTAAAAATTTGGATGATGGTACTTTTGTCCTCTGCTTGCTCATGTCTCCCAGCAACTCGGGTACTACTGCTCAGCCCAGTGCCAAATGATTTCCACCGAGTCATCCCGAAGATAATGTCTGTACATCCAATTCCCCAGCCAGGCAGTCAAGCAGAACCCCACAACCATCCCCAACTTCATTCACCAACTCCACACAATTTTTTAAAAAATATATTTTATTGATTTTTTTACAGAGAGGAAGGGAGAGAGATAGAGAGTCAGAAACATCGATCAGCCGCCTCCTGCACATCCCCCACTGGGGATGTGCCCACAACCCAGGTACATGTCCTTGACCGGAATCGAACCTGGGACCTTTCAGTCCACAGGCCAACGCTCTATCCACTGAGCCAAACTGGTTTTGACAACTCCACACAATTTTACTAGGCCACAAAAATATGTTTTGCTTAAATTTTTTTGATATAATCACTAAGACAAGTGCAGAAAACAGTAACCTCAAATCCTCAATTGGTTGAATGAACAATATTAGAAAAAATGTCAGATATCAGTTACCTTTAAAATATTTGTGAAGAAATACCAGTGATAGCATTTTAAACATATCAATGACTCAGAAAGATCATAACTGTTTTTTGAGTCTCTGCTGACCTAATTGGTCAAAGGGGCCTGATTTAGCAGGAGAGGGCGTTGGGTGGGGAAAGGGTAGAAAGAAAAGAAAAGGGAGGGAGACTGGAGGGGAACCAAAGCCCAAGATTCTTCTGAAGATGGGCAACATCCACAGCTGTTCCGGAGGATGGGAGTCTGGGGTAGATCCGGCTTTGGCAAACTCAGCACAACTTTTAGGGTGCACATAGACACGGGGTGTGCAGTGGGTGAAGCTCAGTTCGCCACACAGGAGTTAGCAGTGTCCAAGGACATTCCAGGGTCTGGGAACAAGAATAAACTATGGCGAACTTGCTCAATCCCAGGAACTCAGCCTGTCCAGAGGCAACAAGAGGAGAACTCTCATGCATGACCAGTGATTTAGAAACTTGCTCACAGCTTTGAGATATAAATGTGGCCAGACTCAATGAATCTCCACACAAAAGAAAATGGAGAACAAAGGTAGGCGTCTCTGGGTTTAGGGATCGGGAGCACAGCAGCACCCAAAAGCCACCTTAGGATGCTGGGACCAGCAGTGCTGGGCTGTCCATGGAGGGTTTGTCCTCAGGCACAGGCTGGGCTTTGGGTTCCGGAGCTGTGCGCACTGCGCCCACTAGGAGGCGCCTCTTAGCCGGGGCCTGAACAGTCCGCTCTTGAGTCCCCTGTTCCCAAGGACGAGGACCACGATTGAGACCACGTGTGCCAGTTGGCTGGAGATCCTGGGCAGATGGGCCCGAGGTTGGCTGTGAGGGTGGGTAGGGCTTCAAGGAGCAGAGGGCCACAGCAGCCGCGGGCTGGGCAGCAGAGGCAGATCCCAGGGCTAGTGAAGGGCGACGGCATAGCTTGCGCACAAGGGCCTGGTAGCCAAGGTGGCCGGGAGCCCCACGGCCCATGCCCACTGATCGAGGGGTGTTCGTGGCCCGACGGGGCTGGAGGTGCCTCAGGCCCAGCGCAGATCTCCAGGCCGCCCGGCCCTCCCTCTAGGCGCTCAGCTCCTGGCTGCCCAGCGCCATGGGCTCGACGTGGTCCACAACAGTCCGGTCCTCTCCGCGTTTCCACAGCTCATAGCGCTCGGGCTGCAGGAGGCGCACGAACACGTCCATGGAAAAGCTCACCCGGGCCTCCCCGCAGCTGCACTGAGAGGCCACTTTGCCATAGTCGACCCATCGCGGGGTGGCAAAGTTGATGGCCTCCGCACAGTTGAAGCCATGGTTGAAGCCAGCGTGGTAGCCATAGGGAAAGGTCACCATGAACTCTCCAGCCTCCTGAGTGATGCGACTGAACGGGACCCCGTTCTCCTTGAGGACAGTGGGCGAGATGAGGGCCACCTTGTGCCGCAGGAAGGCCTCGCAGCCCCGAGAGCTGCCCGGGAAAAGCTCCCTGGCCAGGCGCTCCAGGCGCTGGCCGTGCTCTGGGGGCACCGCGTACCACGTTTTGGGCTCCCCGAGGTGCAGGTAGTTGATGCTGTAAAGGTCCATGTCCTCCGTGTGCCAAGCGAAGGTGGTCTTCCACATGCCAAAGTACAGGTAGGGGGTGTTGACGCCTTCGATGACAACCCCACACTCCTGCTCCAGCAGGTCCTGGATGGTTCCCAGGTGGCCAAGGTTCCATTGTTTAGTGTTGGCATCAAATAAGGAGCCACTGATGTCAGCGCCATATATGGGCGAGTCGTACAGGCGCGTTTTCCAGTATTTCCGCTCCAGATCCTCAAAGTCCAAATGTGGTGGAGTCTGATACTGTCCACTGTTTGCCAACAGGCGATACTCGCCCACTGTCATGGCCCTCTTCTTTTTGTGGTATTGAATGAACACACCTGCTCGCCCAGACGCCACCTGCTGGAGGGGAGTGGCTATCACCATGTCACTGACATCATCGTAGGTCTGTTTGGCTTTCCATTCTTATGTGGAATGACCTTTGCCAGGCCAGCTCGGTGGACACCTTGGGATTCCAGGTAACCAATATATTTGTTGAAGTCTTTCAGTTCTTCCATGGTTGGGTGGAAGGTCATGATTGTCCCACTTGGCTCATTAGGCACCATGGCTGCAATGTAAGCAGAGGATTCCTGAGTTCTTAGGGATGTTTTAGATACCTGATTATGAGGGAATAATGTCTTCTCTCTCTCTCTCTCTCTCTCTCTCTCTCTCTCTCTCTCTCTCTCTCTTTTAATTATGAAAGTAAATTTATTTCAAAAGCATAAGGAAACACTTACTTTTGAACAATGTGATCAACAGATGTCTTGCAAAAGAAAAACAATCATGACATGAAGTTTTCCATTCAAGTTTTTGAAGCAAAGGTAACCTAAGTTGCGCATTATTGCCTTCGGAAAGGGAAGGGAAACAATGAGGCGGCAAAGGAAGAAACACAGTCAACTCAATATCAAACTTTAAGGAAAGTCAATTCTGCTCAGCTTTGAGTTTACAAATATTCTTTTAAAAATAAAAAGAGGAAAAGTTACCCCTAATGTTCAAATTCATATAACTGTAGTCCTAATACAGTTCCTATACTTGAAATGGCTTTCGTCCACCTGGTCACAGTTTTCAAATAGCAATTCCATATTCCTATGTCTGTTCAGATTCCAAGGGAGCTCAGGTTCAGCTCATTGTCTTTTGGAATGTTTAGATTATTGCCGTCGCTCCATAAACAAGCTGAACAATTTCTTATGCTCACTTGTGTAATTCTAGTCTTCAAAAAATATTTATCCCATAAACATGTGCAGTAATTCTAACAAAGGGGTTTTGTTTTTTCCCCAATGTAAGGGTTAACAGTAATAAAGACACTGCCATTGGAATTACTAACTACTCCTCAAAAAATGGGCCAAACTACTAGAAAATGTTGCTCATACATTGGATTTGAGTAGCAAACTTGGGGAGGGAATATTAACTGTGAAACAAAAATATATGAAACATTCAAATGCAGAGCAAAGGACCTATGCTACTAAAAATGCCCATGACATTAAACACTCCACAACCCCCCCATATGTCTTTTAACCTAAATATTCTATTGGCTAACTTATACAGTAATTTTGATTAATAACCTGAGAAGTTAAAATCTTCAAAGTGGCAAAAGCAAACAGAGAGAATCCCTTATTATTGGTAGAACATGTTATCAAGTCACTTCTCCTGGGTTGTCCTGGTTATTCAATTCCCAAATTCTAAATTATTCCATGTCATCCTGTAGAAACCTATATGTACATCAGATTCAGTATTTTGTCTGTATTTCTCCAAAAGGGATCGCCAAACTCATCTTTGACAACGCAGCCTTTGCTTATTTTCAGTTTTAAATAACAATAATCATGTAAGTGCAACGGACTCAAAATCCCTCACTACTGGGAAGAAAACCTAGATGACAAGTTAATAATGGATTCGGCCTCAAAAGGGTAATCACCATGTCAAAGATTACCTGTTCCTGGAATTTTAAAAAATTATTTATGTTGTGTAGTCAGCATGTATATGTGTATATATACATATACACACACACATATCTTATGTATGTATGTATGTATGTATGTATATTATACATACACATTTCTATTCAAATAGTAAGATCCCATATTCAAAAGCTTATCACAACATATGGAGAAGAGTTAAGTAAGCAGTGCAAAGCAGCTTACATTCTCCTAAAAATGTAATACTTCTACATTTAAGTATTTTGCTCCCAGTACACTAGGTAGGAATGCTGAACCATTGCTTAGCAGCTTTATTAAAGAAAACCAATGAAAACCAAATGTTAAAATTGACCATTACTCTTCTCTATATATATTGGGGGGAAAGGACAGAGGGGAGAAGAAAATCAGTAAGCTTTCAAAACTGATCATCTTTACCAGTTATCGGAAATAGAATTTCATTATATTTTATATTTGAATGGCTCAACAAATTATTAGGATGTTTAAAAGATTCAAAATATGAAGTCTGAATAATGATGATATTGCAAAAACAGATTGTGCACAAAGCATCCAAAAATATCGCTGTGGTTTTACCTTGGACACAACCACGGTCTGTTACAAAAGTAGATCATACATACAAAGGTATAAAGAACAATAAGTTTTTAGCTGAAGGCAGAAGTCCTTTTAAGGGACATCCAATGAGTAGTAGAATTTAAGTATATTAAGCTTATGACGATGCTGAAGAATGTGATGTCTTATTCAGTAGAGTCTTCCCCGACTACGATTTCCTCGTGCTCCCCAACCTCGGCCACCTCTACTTTCCCTGAAGGCTCCTCTCATAAAGTTGCCCAAATTGCTGCTATATTTCCCACTAGGAGGATTATAAATCTGCCTTGCGTCTCTTTTTGGTCCTGCTGGAGATTTCTTGGCTGGTGAACCAGAAGTTGTATCTTCAGTGGCTCTCTTTTGCCCAATTTCAACCTTCTGTACAGGTTTCCAGGATAATGTTACTGTGCTCTTATAAGAGGGAGGAATGTGGAAGAGATCCTTGATTAAAACATTGATGTTATTTGTTATTTTCAATGCAACCACTCTAATCTTGTTCTCGTCTGTTTTTAAGGCCTCGCCCGTTTTACCCTGGAGAGCCAAGCGAAGTTGTCTGATATAAACCTGCAGGCTCTGAGCAAAGTACTGCAGCCTAATTTTAAAATCTTTGAGCTTTTCTGCATTCAGTTTGGCTGTTAAGAAATCTGGAAGTTTTCGACCCAACTGGTGGAAGCTGTACAACAAACATTCGACATAACTGAATTGCAGCTTAGGTTCTTCATTACCAGCATTCTCCCCATTTTCTGCTTCTTCTGGAGGGAGAGGCATGTGCTCCAATAGCTTATCCAACAGTTTCCTTAAATTTGTTTCTATCTTTTCCATGTCACCACAAAATGAACTCAGCTCTGCCAACAGTTTCAATGCCTCCAACTGTATATCAAGACCCTCCACTGGAGTAGTTAAGGAGCTGAGGTTAGGTAGAACCTGCTCACAGAAGTAAGTCACAAACCTTGTGGAATGCACATTTTTCGAGAAGAGGGTTACCGCCTGCCGGGTGCACTGTAAGAGCCTGTCCACACAGTCGGGATCTGACGGGTTGAAGGTTTGTTCTAGGTCAGCCTGCTCAGCCACCAACGCTACAAGTTGCTGTCTTCCACTCATTGTCTGTAAGCTCTTTAACCCAGACAGTGTATTCATGAACAGGACAAATTCTTCACCAGTCACATCTTTTAGGACCTTTTTGGATTCAGTTAGTATAAGTTCCTCTACTTCCTTTGTTAAGACCTCATCTGGTAAAGTGTTAAGTTTTGTAGAAAGGAATTTGATTGCTCGTTCTCTAACAATGTTTTCTCCTTTAAGGATTTGGCTGAATAAGCCACCTAAAGTCCCTTTTGCATCCATCTTAAATATACTTAATAGGGCATTGTTCACTAAGTTAAATTCTGCAGAGTCATCTGTTTGCAAAAGTTGGGTTAGAATATCTGCCACTGGGGGAAGATTTTCTCCAGTGGCAAATTGAGGAAGCTCTTTAATTGCTTGCCGTCGAACTGATGCATCTTCATCCTCACAGAGGTCTAACTGTGCATTGATAGCAGAATCAGCCAATTCTGGAAAATGCTTAAAGAATTTTGGAATAAACTGAGCTGCTAACCTTTTTTCCTTGGTACCACCTTTCACACCATCCAGTATCATTTGGTAGGCATCTTTATGCTGGCCCACTTGCTCCATAGCATCGGCTAGGATGCCATAGCTGCGGTAGAGCTCCTCTACGGTCACCATGGTGAGCGACAAGCCCAGGGCTAGCTCCTGCGGGTCGTCGTTGTCCTCCTTGTCCTCGCTGGCTCGACCGCCGCCCCCGAAGTTCCTGCCCCCAGCCCGCGAGCCACACTATCTCTTTTTGTTTTTTTTTAAGTTTTGGTGTATCAGTGATTCAGATTGAGTGTTTGACAACTAAACCTTTTCCAGGCTTTCGGCCTCACCAGTGGGGCCCATGCTGGTCTGTACTTTGTGCCTGAAGGATATGGACCAGTTCCCAGGGAGCAGACGTTTTGGGGGAAGAGGGGAGAGCGGGTCTCAGCCTGAAGCACTGTGAGTCTCTCAGTTGGAGTGTTAGGGTCTCTGAGGCTTCTCCTGGATCACAGGCTTGAGTGCCTGGATGGCTCCTCACCCCGCTGTAGCGGAAATTTTCCTCAAGGAAGTTTAAAAGCTAAACCGGAAGACAAGAACACAGAATATTCATAAACAATTAAACACACACACACACCTAACACCTAATAGAAATTATTCTAAAACCTGATTCTTACAAAAGACCATTAGAAATGAAAAGACAAAAGTGTGAAAAGTACAAATAAATAAGCACAGTATAATAAAATAGGGGACACATCTAAAAATGCACCAGGGTGAGTCTTAAAAAATTAGAGTTTAATCTTATGAACACCTTGTTGATAATAATTTTGAAAAGTAAAATAAATCATTTTCTCAAAAGTACATATATGCCCCAGCTAGTGTGCCTCCATAGTTAAGAATCAACCTATGAACCAGTAGATCATGGTCGACTCCTGGTCAGGGCACATCCTGGGTTGTGGGCTTGATCCCCAATGGGGGATATGCAGGAGGCAGCCGATCAATGATTCTCTCTCAACATTGATGTCTCTCGCTCTCTCTCTCTCTCCCTCTCCCAAGAAAAATAAAAAGTTTTTATTTTTAAACTGTGTTTTTCAGCCTGGCAGGTGTGGCTCAGGGTTGAGCATTGATCCATGATCCAAGAGGTCTCCAGATGAACTCCCCATCAGGATATATGCCCAGATTATGAATTCGATTCTGCGTAAGGGGCACGCAGGGGGCTACTGATCAATTTCTCTCTCATCGAAGTTTCCCTCTCTCTCTATTCCTCCCGCTCTCTCTCTAAATAAATCAATTGATTTTTAAAAGAATAAAAACTTGCTTTAGCTCAAGGGAATGATATTCAGATGCATATTTCTCCATGGTAAATAATATAAAACTATAGTCAGTTCTTTAAACTTGTAATAGGAAAATAGCTCTTTTGCTCACAAGCACAAATAGCAGAAATCAAGTGACCTACCTTCCACCAGCAAAATCCCAATTCCCAG